AGCGCGAAGATGAAAAACAGGTGCGGTGCATGTATACATATACTGTATATATACTACGCAGTGTGTACTACCCCATGTATACTATGACATTTTGACATGGTGTGTTTACATCCTTTGCTAGTGTTCTGTATTTAGCTATGGTAAGTGCTTTTAAACCACCTGAGAGTTATAACTATTTTGTGTTTTTGAGAGCTGCAAGTTTACTGGTTGATTTTTACAAGTAGTTTTTCTTACTGGTAGTTGTTATCCTCTTTGAATAAAGCTTGAATCTGATTTGATTGAAAGACCTTGGCTGTCGATGACGTCACTACAAATTTCCACGAGGTAAAATGCACGATGCACGATTTCATTTTCATAGATCAGAATAAGGCTATTTACCGGCACACAGGTGTACTTTGAAGAGAATATAGACCTTAATAATTGCGGTAAATATACAAGACGAACACGCAATGTATTAAATATTCTCTTTGAACTTTAATAAATTTAGACACATATATAATGCACAAACTGTCTAATATGCAGAGAAAAGGCATCCAATCACTTTACACATGTTGTTTAAAGCCAGACTTAGGCGTGTGATTACTACTAACAATAAAATACAGAAAGACATTCCGGTGCTAGCCACTTTGTACAACAACATGAAGAGCTGAGACAACATTCTCTTTCCTTAAAAAAAAAAAACTTAACATCTTCAGTGATTTGAGTTTTGTTATTGTTGACATGGCGGTACCACTGATATAGGAACCGAGGAATGATGAAGACAATAATCACTAACACTCCCCAGTAGTGTCCGTCTTACAGTTCCCAGCCCTCGCCTACCCATCACAATGTGATCTGCTTTTTCTTTATCTGCCGTGTGACAGATAACTTCTCCAGCTTTGCCAACTTCTGTAACCAGTTTGAAGTTGTACTAGGGAAAATACAAATAGGTTATTAAAAGAGAATTAAACAAGCCATTTTCCTATAATTACTCATCATCAAATTTATTATTGAGTAGTTCTTGAGTTGAACATTAACATAGTGCTGGCCATTATTATATCTTATTAACCAAGTCTGAGTGCAGCGATTTCCACACAAAAAAGACCAAAGGCTGATATTCTCCCAGTAGTGTCCTGAGCAAGTTTGGTTAATAAGAGATTTATTACATGACTGTAACTACCTGTAAATCTTCAAGAGTGATCTTGCGGGATCATTCAGGAGAGTACCTGGTCCGATACTTAGAGAATATTGAACCAGCAATGGAACAATCCGATTGGTTAATTATTAATTAAATGTTACTTGGCCCTCTGAAGTAACTTAGTTGTGTAGTATTATGAGTAGAATTAACTGCCCATTGATGAAAGGAAGCTACAGTGGAAGCCCTCATGAGTGGACACCCTCAGGACACAAAGAAGCTTTCAGTAACAGCAGCTGGCCGTTTACGAGAATAGTTCTCGTTAGCGGCCACTGGAGTTGTAAGAGAAAGATGGCTGCCAATTGGAGCTTTCCCAGCCTACAATAAACATTGGGAATACAATATTATACCACCAAATTATTATTTTTTGTTTTATTGCCTTGTGCAATACTGTAGTATGGTGATAACTGCATGTACACTACAGTACTAGGATGGGCCTTGGTGATTAAAGAATAAATCACAATAATTTGCAGCCAGCAGTAACATTAGCATTAAACAGTCTCACTGCAACTGAGAAAAAGCAGTGATACAGTTTACAAATGTTTATATTATTAAGTATCCTTCAAAGATAAGCCCAGTTTCTTTCAAATGTCTGTTTACAGGAGCTCAAAAACAAAGGAAAAGTCTAGATTGTTAAGGCCCTCCAAGAGTCCCAGGCCGCCAATGAGAATGTCCGCTTATGGGGTACAGAGTTTGTATGGGAGTTTGTGAAGGCAGTTGTTAGCAGAGCTGTCTACTTACGAGTGTCCGTTAATACAGCTTTCACTGTGTTTGATAATTAGATCCAGCAACTTTTCAATTAAATTTTCAGATCAACAATCATTAATAGTAAAGATGTGAGCACACTACCTTTTGGTTTCTGCATTTGTCAGCAAATGACTCCATCATTTTTTTGCATTCACTTTGACTTTTGTCTATCCATGACATGTAACTATCACGGAATGCCATCCCATCTAAGTACAAAAGTGTGTGTGTTTAATTGATAAGAATACATGATTTAGAAAAAGTTTCCCTTAGGTCCCCAACCCACATAACCGTCACTGAGCAGTGAGCATCAGCTACTTACGAGGATGCATTACAACTGGTCTTTTTTCCACATCAATGGCATGTATGAAGACAATCTTGTCACCAGACTTGTGCAAATTTCCACAGTACCCTGAAAATAGGATTTTGACCAGTCAACTGAAAATGTTGCCCAGAGGCTGTCTTTTTTTATTATAAAACACCACAGGTTGTAATGTGAGAATAATGGAATTGCAACCCCGGAACAATTGGGTGGGGGAGTGCACTGCAGCCAGCTTCTCAAAATTCTTACCCTCTTAAGACCAAAATCTGCTATTTTCCCTGCCCCATTTATGATCTGACCAAACTTTGATACACTTTTCTTAAGACCTGAACCTTACATCAATACCCTGTTTCAGACCTGACTTATAACTAATTCCCTAGCTCAGACTGATGTTAAAGGCACTGTGAAGGGCTTTTGTTGATGGTCTTATCGATAATGATGAAAAAATAGCCTCGTCTAAAAAACGTACCAAATTCAAGGCTAGAGTGCAAAAACCATACCCTACTTGAGACCAAAATAGCCAAAATAGACACCCTATTTATGACCAAAATGGCTAAAAATCCATACCCTTTGGGATTGCACAAACCTCTATTATACACTGTACAGCCCATGAAAGAGAGAACCACCCCCCTCAGGATGTATACATAGTGTAGATATCAAAAGTTTCTTAACAGAGCAAAAAGCCATGACAGAATAATGAACATCCCTGTCGGGGAAATATAATGTCCACTTCTCCCTGGTACAAAAACTGTTGGAAAGATTAATGTGGGTTTGATCTTTCCATATCCCATCCCCTTTACTCCATGTTCCTGCTCCATCCTTAATGCTTCCCAACTCTAATTTGCAAATATTTTGCAACATTAGTACTTATAGTGTGATCGTCCGGGTGAGAGTAGTTCTAAAAAGAACTGTTGTTGCTAACTAACTTTTTGACAACCTGAGCGGAAGTCATCTTCAAAGTCAAGTGAATAGTGTTTGTTAGTTGATGGTGTTACAAGTCTGGTGTGTTGAAACCGCTTGGTTTAGCTGCAAGGCTCTCTTCTCCTACTGTGCATATACTTCCTGCCCTCGTTACTCAAGGGTTGCCACCAGCTGCTACCCTTCCCCT